ATAATTCTTTTATTAATATAATTTTGCATTTCCAAAGAATAATATGAGAATTTGTTAGTTATTTCAAATTAAGTATCATCCAAAGTTTTCTTAAATCTCTGAAAAGTTGTGTGTCATCTTCAAAGATTGTCACGTGTCCAATTACAATAGAACTAAGTAAAAGATCTTTGTCCAATTTAGATAAACTTTTAAATTATTTATAGGAGAAAAAAATAAAGAGAAAAGATGAATAAAACTTTTCTCTCATAGCTAAAAAATTAACTTATGTACTATAAGTTTTGTGAAATTAAATGAGAAGAGTTAAAAATTATAATAAAAAATAGAAAATAATTATAAAATAGAAGGATTTGATTTATTTGAATTACTTCCTTATTTTTTACCATCTATAAGTATTTATTGATAAACTTGTCTATCTGGTCCTTGCAAGAATTCTTAACTTTTCTGTTATATATAAAAATTCATATTTTATCATTGTGAAAAGTAAGAATACCTTTAGCAAACCATTCAGATAAATTGGCTCAACCAACTTTGAGTTTTTGCTCTCACGCCATATCTATATAAAGCATAGTTGGCAGCAACATGTTCTACATTTGACTCCTTTTTGGTCTAAGGAAATAGTACATTTCAGTTAAGAATATAGACAAAACTCTTGCATTGAATGGCCCATTAACGAGAGACAACAGTGCCATCAATCATAAAGAGAATAATATAGTGCAGGCTAATCTTATCCGGCGACCTTTACAGCCTTGTGTTAGCAAGAGAATATCAGTGTGGTTCTATAAATAGCTTTCCACATAAAATTTTATAAAATAACATACACCTTTGTCCACATTTATAGGCTTGACAACTTGAAATTGAAAAGGTTTAATAGCAATACAAGTTGTAGTTTAGAAGGAGTATTTTTTCTTAACTTGGTAAGATTACACCACGAGACATCAAATTTGTCATTCTAAAATATTAATACTTATATATAGAATTGGCAAGAAAATAGTGTGTTTGACTGGATTAGCCTCAATTCACCTAATATAATATAAATTCTGAATTTTAAATTTTGAATTAAAGTTAAATTTGAACTTTTTAATCTAATATAATTAAACTCGATATCGATTAAATTTGCTAAAATGCACAAAAATAAATCTTTTGGACATCATTTTTACGAGTCCCAATGATTTATAAATTTTTAGCTCAATATGCTAAAATTTGCTTTCTATAGTGGGCAGACTCAAATGGATCTTTAGTTTGTTTTCCAACTATACTTATATAAATTGAAATTAAGAAATCAATTTGAAAATATATCCACATGGAAGTAGTGTTTTGAAACACTTGGTTGCTTGCCAAGTACATGTATAAAACTTCAATCAATCACATAAGATAACCCATTAAAAAAACGTTATATTATTTCATAACGATTTAAAGTTGGACTTGGTTTTGTTGATTTAAGATTTGCTTAAATGAAATTAAATCGATATAAATATTACAGATTTATGTTAATATGATACATTATATTAATAAATAATTTGATAGATGTGAATAATTGATAAATATCAATATATTATACTACTATAATTAATAGATATCACTGTATCACCTCTTTTGTTTTTGGGCAACGACAAAATACATAATATTTTTTTTTTTTTACCAAAATTACGTGATTTACATTCAATACCAAACCATCACTTAAGTCGTTACTATATTAGAATATTATTTAAACATTGGGCACCCTCCTTTTTCAAGCCAAAAACAAACATGCATGATAATTAAGAAATTATAGAAAATATTATCAATCACTTGTTTGTCGAATATCATTAAACAATTATTTGAAACAAACTATTTAGACTATTAATATATCAATCATTGAAAATATTAATTTAAGTATACCACTTCATTAATTGGTTTGATTGACTGAATCAACTGACAAATTCGTTAGAGTTCATGAGGAGACAATGAAAAAAAAAATCATATAAAATATTTTTGTAAGTTCAAAATTTAAAATAAAAAAATAGAAGATTAAACTAATCGAAACAAAACTAAAAAATTAAAGACCAATATATTAATTTAGGCTTCTTTTTCTGTTTTTACTTTTTTTTTCATATCTCTCACTTTTTTTACTTAATGCCCTTTGTCATTTCATAAAGCACTCTCCTTCAAGAATATCATTCTTCATTTCATAAATCACTCTCGTGAAGCAATTGACTTAAGGACGTGTTTTGTGTATATTATTTTTTAGTTTTTAAAAATATATTTTTTGATAATCATTTTTTTTAAATTATATTTCTAGATAATGTTATTTGCAATAATTTCTAGAAATATTTTGATATCATATTTAGATTTAATATTAATTTTTAGAAATAGCAATGCACCTTTTAAACATTTTATAACTTTATTTACAATATTAATTAAATTTATGCATATTTTAATATTTAAAATATAAATAAAAAATAATTTTAATATGTGAAAGTGTGTGAAAAATAAAATGTTACATATACGTGTGTGAGATGACTATAAGTAATGAGAGTTATAAAATTTTAATCGATCATAATAACTATAAATAATTTTTATATTATATTAAGATAAGATAAATTAACTAAGTTTAGAATTGAAAATATTGAGCGGTATGATTATACTTTTATAATTTTTTTTTTTACTTTCATGAGAATTTTAAATTATCATCCCTTTTATAGAAATATTTTTTTAAAAAAAATTAATTAAAATTTTTTTCTAAAAATATTAATTTCTTTGAAATATTTTTAAAATATCTAATTAAAATATAAAAGTATGATATTTTTAACTTAAAGTTTCTAAAAAAGAATACATAAAAGAATTTGCTCCCTAATTGTCAAGCTATATATGTCAACTAATGTACCATTGAAAACAGGTTTATCTTCAGAAAAGAAAGATAACTAAATTCCTGATATAATTATAAAACTCATGACGATAGATTGGAGGTGTGAATTATCATAGATGGTTCAAGAGATCCCTCTCTCTTACATTTTATATAACTCATTGGTTTTTTATAATTTTTTGTTGTTCTTTTAATTTTCTTCTTTCTTTTATTTTTTTTAAAAGGGGTAGAATAAATATTTGAATTTATTTAGTATCCTCAAATAACGAATGTAAAGTGCTTCGGTAGATACTTAGGATATTGTAAGAAAAAATTCCTATCATTATTCATGTATAAATGAACTCTCTAACTTTGTCAACTATTTTTTTTATTTCTATTTTTAAATTTAAGTAAATTTTGTAGCAACTCAGTTTTAAATTAATTGTTTTTTGCCCACTGCGACTTCAAACATGATATGCGAAATCTTTATGATGTAAATTTTGAGGATATTCTAAAATGATTTTCATTTTTATGAATTGTCAATATAAATTTTTATACTGATAATGAATAAAAATATATGGTAAATAAGTTTTGAGTTAATTATTATAAAATTAATGATTTTCCCTTATACACAATTTATAAATGACTATGTAAAAAAATATTTATCACGTTGATGTATTTTAATTAAATTGTTTTAAAATTAATTAATTATAAAATTTGTAAATTAAAATATGAAATTTAAATTCTTATTTCAAAAATATAAATATTGCTATAATTAATTGAATATTATTTTAATCATTAAGTTTAAATATCTACTTAATATTGATTAAAAAAATTAAGTATTAATTAAAATAATAATAAAAACTTAAAATTCACACTGTAAAGTAAAGAAACGTGATTTAATATGGAAGTTATAAAATACAAATTAAGTTGAGAAATACTTGTATTAGTTATAAAATACAATCTAATTTATTTTTATAAGGGTAGATTGCATCAAAGACACTTCTAATTCTCTTCCTGATTATCTCACTCATAAATATTTACAGAATAAATAGAATATCTAGAAAGATAATGACCTCCTCCAGAGAAGGAGTCACCAGTTGAGGAAGATCTACTTTAGCAAATTTTAATTCTTCAGAATCATCCACCCTAATTGGATATATATATATATATATATACTTATCCAAAGATATATATTAAGTAACTTAGATTCAAGAGGGAAAGGTTACTTTTTTAAAATTTAAATGATTTATTTCAAAGTACAAAAATATGAGATATGAGACTAAAAAGAAATTTAGCAGAAAAATAATATTTAAAAAAATATTAAATTGAAATTTGAATGGAAAACTCTTATTATAATTTTTTAAATAATTGATAATTTAATAATTTTCTAAATTATATAATTATAAATGCACATTTCATAGGAAGAAATACAATAAAATATGAGAAACACTTGCAAATTACAATAGTAATTAGTATTTATTAGTCTTCATATTTTCTAATTGTTAATTATTTTAAAATCTCATCAAATAATTAACATAGATATAACAAAGATGCAACATACTATTAACTTTTTATATTTATACTATATAATAATAATTATTATTATTATTAAAAAATATTATAGTTTATATTCGTGATTTATTATTTTTATTCAAATATTTTACATTATTTTTAATTTATACATATCAATAACATATAAAATCTCTATTAACTTTTTAATTAATTATTAAATAAAATTTTGATGTAAGAAATTTGACATGATTAATTATAAAACTAAAAATAAATAAATGTAAACAATTAAAATTTAACGAGCCCAAATTTCACATATATTTAAATATAAATTCTAATAATACCATTAACTTTATTTATTATTTAAAAATTATGATATAGAAGTGGCATAATTAGGTACAAATATTTCTTCTTTGACTTTCCAAATACTGATCGATAGCATTCCCACACTGTTTGACTTGATCATTATTGGAGGAGTAGGCACCCATATCCCATTGTGCCACCTAAAATAAAGCAAAACGTTCAAGCCACTAACTACTCACTCCACTTCACTATAAAAACTAAACATTACTTTTAATACAAACATTTTCATTTTTTACACGGTTGTATATATATAATAAACACACCTTTCCATATCCATAACTCCAAATCTTCCATATCATATCAAATGTCTTCTACTGTAGAAGAGTCGATTCGTGACCCTCTCAACAAGGCATGGAAAACCCTTCGTTTCTTCACCATCAAACCCACCGAACTACTCCCTCTATTCCTCAAAACGGGGCTCGCTATTTCCACCTTCATCCTCATCACCCTCTTTTTCTACCTCACCCTCTCCTACCACCAACCCTTTCTGCACAACACTCACACAACCTTCAAATACAGTCTCCAACAACATAGACCCTCCGAAGAACCCACCAACATCTCCCACATCTTGTTCGGGATAGGCGGCTCCACCGCCACATGGCACTCGCGCCGCCACTACAGTGAGCTCTGGTGGCGCCATGGCGCGACCAGAGGCTTCGTTTGGCTGGACAAAAGCCCGCCGGAAAACGAGACGTGGCCGGAGATGTCGCCGCCGTACATGGTCTCCGGTGACACGTCGTCGTTTACGTACACGTGCCCGTACGGCTCACGGTCTGCGATTCGCATGACGCGGATAGTAAAGGAGAGCTTCGAGCTAGGAATGGAGAATGTGAGGTGGTTCGTGATGGGTGATGATGACACGGTGTTCTTCCCCGACAACCTGGTTACGGTTTTGTCGAAGTATGATCATAATGAAATGTACTACGTTGGTGGGAACTCGGAGAGCGTGGAGCAAGATGTGATACACTTTTACACCATGGCCTATGGCGGTGGTGGGTTCGCTATAAGTTACCCTTTGGCTGCTGAGTTAGTGAAGATTTTGGACGGTTGCATTGATCGTTATGCTCAGTTCTATGGCTCTGATCAGAGGATTCAGAGTTGTATCAGTGAGATTGGTGTTCAGATCACCAAAGAGCCGGGTTTTCATCAGGTACATTCTTTCTTTGGTACATAACATCAGAAATAAATTGAGTTTTCTATAATGTTTTTATACTCTTTTTGTTTAGAATATTTCCTTCATTTTCCCTAATATATCATATTATCAAAGGTCTTTTTATAAATAACTACTTCAATACCTACTGAGCATTAATTAGTAGAAAGTTATTTCAGATTAATCAATATGGTTAAAAAATAATTACTTCTTCAAAAATATAATTCATCTTCCTGAATTCAAGCCATTGTGACAATATCTTTTCTAAACTATAACTCCGTAAATATTTTTAAAAGGATTCATTAGAATTGCAACTTTGGCTGATTTTATTTGAACAAGAGCTGCACTAAAGCGAAATTATGTAGAAAAAATACATAAAAAAAAGTCATATTTTTTGGTCTATAATTAAAAAGACCATAATGTTATTCTCTTTTAACAAATTTATTTATTATAATGACAGGTTGATATACGTGGGAACCCATATGGGTTGTTATCGGCACACCCCGTAGCACCGTTGGTGTCGTTGCATCATTTGGACAACGTGGACCCGATATTCGCAAACATGACACGGATTGAGTCCGTGAGAAAGTTGGTCACAGCCTATAAAACGGATCCGGGTCGGACCCTACAACAGAGTTTCTGTTACGACTTGCGGCGGAATTGGTCCGTCTCGGTGTCGTGGGGCTTCACCGTGCAGTTGTATCCTTTTCTAGCCACGGCGAAGGAGCTGGAAACGGCGTTAAGGACATTTGACACGTGGCGGAGTTGGAGTGATGGTCCGTTTACTTTCAATACCCGACCCGTTAGTAGCGACCCATGTCAGAAGCCCCTCCTGTATTTTATGGATCGGGTTCAAAGTGTGGGCGGGGACCAGACCCGATCTACCTACCAAAGATACGTCGACGTTTCGGAGAAAAAATGTGGGCGTGCTGAGTACGACCGGGCTTTAGCCGTTCAATACGTCGACGTTTCGGCATCCCGCTTTATGCCGGACTTGTGGAAAAAGGTGTGGGATTTTTCTGGCGCGCTTGACTTCACACTTGTCCGTAATGCATGATTTGTTTATTTCTTTGGTCAACTGTCAAGATTATTTTCGGATATGATTTTTTTTTTCTTTTTCCTGTAGAGGTGTACTATGTTAAGTTTGAATAATTTTTTATAAAAACAAAAAAAAATAATTATAAAAATAACATTTTTTTAAAAAAATTTAAATAATTTTTTTTAAAAACAAAAAATATACGTTTATTTCTAATTTCTGTAATAATTTTATTTTTTATAAATTTTTATAAAAAAAATTATAAAATTTATCTGAATTGAGTTATAGTTGTTTTAAACTTTACTTATGATATACTAGAATTTATTTATGAAAAAATATTTGTTAATTTTCAAATGCATAATTGTTGTAATTTTAATTTTAATTTATTTTGTCAATAAATTAAAACAAACGGGCCTACAATTTATTTTAGCGTACAAGTTTTATACAAAGTTAATTTTAATTCTAGAGAAATTGTTTGTTACTGTAGTCAGGTTTTTGTGTATTATTATATGTTTTGAAAATATTTTAATTTTATAATGTTCCAAAAATAAATTGGCTGCTAACGAGATTGCAATGTGGCTGAATCTGCAGGCGCCATGTAGACAATGCTGCGAGATAATCAACGGCCGAGATGGGGTGAACAGGACGATGCACGTTAAGATCAGAGGGTGTCGTCGGTTTGAGAGTGTGACACCTCCGTAACAAGTCAGAACGGGGAAGGAAATCCCCAGAATGGGTTGTATAATTGTAAGTCAAAGACAGTCAAGTTTCTCCCCAGCGATGATTGAGGAGTGATGTATGAATGAAGCAGCCACGCAACGATACGACACTGCGTTCAGATACGAAATGCCGTGATCAACAGGCTAAACGATGACACGTCTCACGCATTTCAAATATTCTACTCCATCCTTGCACATGTATAATGATGCAAGTCACAAATATTTTTGCAGAGTTAATTTATTTTATATTTAACTCATTTATATACTTTTAATATCTAATTTCCAGAACAAATTACGATATATTGTGAATTGGTGACTTTAATTCTTGAGATGAGAGGCTCCCCACATACTAAACATAATATTGACAAAATAAATATGGGATTTGAATGAAATTTTGACCATAACAAGGACTTAAACTTAAAGTGGTTCTTTTAGGTGAACCAATTACTTTATACTATGCAATATGGTTTGGAACAAAATACGTGACTGCAGCCAAGCTTCGTATATTATATTCCAAGGTGGAATGGTTCAACAACATACGCTTAACATCATATATTATATACTATACTTGCCTGCTCACCAAACCATGCCTCCTCCATGGAATGGATTTGGTTAACGCTACTGACTTGTCCCTCCAAATAACCACTCTATTTTGGAAGTCTTCTTTAATCACATCTTATGTTATATTTATTACTTTGTCTTTTGATACACCTAGCTTCGAGGATAGGTAACCTCCATAAAAGAAACGAGAAAGAGGGAGAGAGAAATTCAGAGAATCAAAGAGAAGATTTAAAATTAATTTATTCGTGACCTCACACTAAAAGTGAGTACTACATATATAGTTAGTTACAAGAGAAAAAGACAAACAATATAATAAACAGATAAGAATTGGTAAATTGCAATGTCCCAACAATTTAGAATTAACTAATTTTTCCTATCTTTAACTCTACTCTTGCATTTTGGAACGTCCACCACAAATGGACCCATCCACTTGGGTTGTCCAACATTCCTCTTTGGCCTCTTCTTCCTTTGGGCCTCAAGGTATTGATATGCTATCTCCTCAATGGGATCCACCTCATCTTCCTCAAGCCCATGTCTCATGTCTTCATCTTCATTCATATCAGCTCCCTCCTGTGGAACAAACACCTTGCCCTCAAGGTGTAATTCTGAAAATTCAGCTAACAATTCCGTAAGTGACTCCCAACTAGAGTCCTCCGAGTAAAGTCCATGCCATTGTACCATCTCCTTCCATTTTGGAAGCAATGACAGCCATTGGTTGAATTTGAGGATGGTTTGCCGCAGTAGTAAGTGCTAAGGAAAGGGGGGCAGCAATAGCATTTCAAAGGAATGGTCGAAGTTTGGACACATGAAAAACGAGATGGATTTTTTATTCTACTGGAAGCTCTAGTTCAAATGCAACTTCACCAACAGCTTTGGTGATCAAATAAGGCCCGTAAAACTTTGCTGCAAGCTTCTGAATACGTTTACCCGCCACTGAACTTTGACGGTAAGGTTTGAGTTTAACTAACACAAGGTCACCAACTTTGAAAGGATGATGGAGGCGTTTCTTATTGGCATTTTTGGTAAGGTTTGAGTTTAACTTTCATCTGGGATTGAGCTTTGAGCAAATTTTTCTTCAACTTTTCCAATATAGCTTCTCGGTTCTCAAGTTCCTCTTGAACAGCTTCCAACGCACTAGAACCGATCAGATACTGAGGAAGGGAGGGTGGTGGTTTTCCGTACACTATTTGATATGGACTTATTACAGCTGAAGTTTGATAAGCAAAATTATAGTGTCATTCTACCCAGTGAAGGTATTTGCCCTATTAAGTCGGTTGGTTATGGCAAAAAGCTCTCAAATACTGTTGAAGTATTTGATTAACCACCTCAGTCTGCCCATCTCTTGAGGATGGTATGATGTTGTCATTCTCAATTTCGTGCCACTCAACCGAATAGTTCACGCCAAAAATGACTGACAAAAACAGGGTCTCGATCAGACAAGATACTTTTTGGCATGTCGTGTAACTTGCAAACCATAGTAGCGAACAATTGGGCTACTTGAACAGCAGTGAAAGAGCCTCGAAGAGTGCCAAAATGAGCTGCCTTTGACAAGCAATCAACGACTACCATAATTACTGTATGTTGTTGGAATGAAGGGAGTCCTATCACGAAATCAGTGGAGACATCCTCCCATACGCCAGAAGGAATTGGTATGGGCTGTAAGAGTCCATAGGGAGCATGTGTCGGGTTTTTGACCCGTTGACAAGTGGCACAGTTGTTAACAAAAGCAGTAACATCTGCTCTCATACCTTTCCAGTAAAAATTCTTAGATAACTGAGCAAACGTCTTTAGGATCCCCGCATGGCCAGCCATAGGGGTTAAGTGAAACTCTTCAAGCAACAAGGACTTGAATTCACAATCAGATGGTAAATAAATTTTCCCTTTATAGAATAGCACCCCTTGAATGACCTTGTAGTCTTCATACTGTGACGGATTAGTCTTGACCCCTTCAAGCAATCGTTGAAGTTGAGGATCTTTATTGTACAAGTTTTGTATTTTAGAGAAAATGTCCAAATGGAGAACAGTAATACTGTAGAACTGCCTATCCTCTGCTGGCATTCTTGACAAGGCATCAGCCACCTTGTTAGAGGACCCATGCTTATACATTATCTCATAGTGGAAGCCTAACAACTTCGAGAAATAATACTGTTGCTCTGGTGTTTGTATTACCTGAGTCATCAATTCCCTCAAACTTTTCTAATCGGTGTAAATAACGAATTTCCTCCCCAATAAATAAGTCCTCCACTTCTTCACTGCTTCGGTGATTGCGTGTAATTTTCGCACATAAGTAGAAGAATTTAACAGTTTCTGGCATAATTTTTTACTAAAAAAGCTTATGGGATGGTCATTCTGCTGCAATACGGCGCCCATTCCACCACCGGATGCGTCAGTCTCAATAACAAATTCTTCCTCAAAATTTGGTAACTTAAGGACAGGGGCAGTCACCATGGCTTGCTTCAATATTTTGAAAGCCTGCTGAAGACCTTCTCCCCATTTGAAAGTCTTTCTTCAGTAAAGCAGTCAATGGTGCAGCTATAGAGGCGTACCCTTAAATAAACATGCGGTAGAAACCTGTTAAACCCAGGAATCCATGAAGCTGCTTTAGATTGGTAGGAACTGGCCACTCCACCATTGCCCTTAATTTTTCAGGATCAGTCCCAACTCCGTCGCGAAACACAATATGTCCAAGATACTCAATTGCGCCTTGGGCGAAGGTGCACTTGGATTGTTTCAAGTAGAATTGGTTGGACAAGAAGCATTCAAAAACCAATTCCAAATGAGTGAGATGTTCCTCAAAAGTTTTACTGTAGATTAAGATGTTGTCGAAGAAAATAATGACAAACCTGCGTAAATATGGCTGGAAGAGAACATTCATGGTGGCCTGAAAGGTTGCTGGCGGTTACACAAGCCAAAGGGCATGACGAGGAACTCGTAGTGCCTGTCATGTGTCTGGAAGGCCGTTTTGTGAATATCAGCATCATCCATCCGGATTTGGTGGTATCCTGCTCTGAGATCCAATTTGCTGAACCATTGAGTGCCGTGGAGCTCGTCTAACAACTCTTCTATGGAAGGAATTGGGAATTGGTCTTTAGAAGTGAGCGCGTTCAAGGCACGATAATCAACGCAAAAATGCCAACTCCTGTCCTTCTTTCGCACCAATAATACTAGCGAAGAGAACGCACTACTGCTGCGTTGAATGATGCCAGACTCCATCATTTCTCGAATCATCTTCTCAATTTCTTGCTTCTCATAATGGGGGTAACGATAAGGTCTTACGTTGACAGGGTTTGCTTCTTCGAGTAAGGTAATTTTGTGGTCTGTGGCCTGAGATGGGGGTAAGGTCGTGGTTGTTTCAAATAGTTTGGGATACTGATTAAGCAAGGTGGTTATGGGTTCCAGAGGAGTGGTGACAGCGCCAAGATCAGAAGGTGAGGGAATGACTTGTAAGTGAAAGAGCTCTGCAATTGCTCCCATAGATGCTAAACGCTTGAACTGGGCCGCTGTAGCTTCTGTTGGTTCGGGCTTCTTCTCTCCCTTGAGTTATACTATTTGCCCCTCCTTCATAAACTTCATGGTCATGGTGTCAAAATCCGTAAGGATAGGCCCAAGTGTTTTGAGCCACTGAATGCCAAGGACAAGGTCTGTACTACTCAGGTGTAGGGCGTACAAGTCCACATTAAATTGGTGTTGCCCAATTTTTAAGCCCACCCCTGGACAAAAAGAGTCACAAGCCAATTCCTCACCATTTCCCACTAATACTGAAAACGGGTGGGCCGTTTGAAGTTGGAGGTCCAAAAACTTAGCTACTCTATCTTGGACAAAATTATGGGTACTCCCATTATCCAAAAGGATGGTGACCGGAGATGGCCCAATAATTCCCCGGATTCGGAAAGTTTGGGGTGTGGTTTGACCCGTAAGAGAATGAATATTGATTTGGGCATTCGGTGGGTCTGGTGCGGGTCCATTCGGGGCAACCGGGTCGGGTTCACCACGTTCAAATAACCTGTGAATTTCATCATCCTCTAAAGGAATTTCCGGAGCAGAAATCAGTAAGTTGAATTGTTTCTTGCAATGGTGGTTGCGGACGAACTTGTCGTCACAATAGTAGCAAAGCCCCTTTTCCCGGCGAGTTTGCAAATCGACGACGGTGAGCTGACGCGTCTGGGTATTGACAGTGCTCGATAGTGGAAGTAACGGTTTAGCAGCCATTGATGTAGGAAGCAATCCGTCTGTGGGAGCCTTGTTTGCAACAGACCGTGGAATAACCCATTTTAGGTTTCTTTGCTGTGACTTTCTCTTCCTGCAATTTAGCTAAACTGATGGCTTCAGAAAGAGTACTAGGGCGAAAAGGGATTACCTCACGTCTGATTTCAGGTTTGAGCCCAGAGAGAAAACAATTGAGGTAAAACGGCGTCGTCAGTC